AACTACAAATAGAAAGACCCCAAACACCCCGATGATGGCCGTGTTGATGCGGATCTCAACCGGAGGTCTCCAAATACTTTCAAACGCCGTTCCAAATAAATCCCAAACCAAAAACTCAATCGATAAATTCAAATCCCAATAAATTATCTTTAAAAATGACATTGCATTCCACACTTACAGAAAAATTCATCCACCCGCAAACAGTTTGCCATGTGGACAAATTAACTATTACTTAGCTCACAAAGAGTCAAATGCCTAGCGAAATATCACTAATCATTCTCAAACAATCCCTCCAGTAAGGACGTGACTGTTCTTCTAACCGGCTAGTCCGCCAAATGGCACTGCAGGTAATGTTATACCGGCCTCTAACCGATTGGTTTTGCCGCCAAATGGCACCACGGAAATACTATGGCCATCACCTACATTCCTGCAATAAATCTTGAGATATGAATCAATAAAATGATCGATAGGCACAAAGCCCTCTTTAGCTAGGTGGAGTCAAAATTTTCTCCTAGCAAATACCCATCCCAGGTCTACAAGGTCCCCTGACGAAGCAAACCCATGCTGCCCAGATCTTCTGTCAGTTGGGTGACTAACCTCTCTACTAAGTTTAGCCAGGACCACGATGCCGAGACGAAAACCATGGGATCTGATCGCGTCCATTCATCCATTCCCCCACATCGCTTTATGTGTTGGATGTTGCAATTCTATATTTTAAATAGAAAAATCTTCAAAATCCTTCCATAGTACCCAAAATTCCAAATCCAATTTCAAATCCAAATTCGTCTGCCATTATATAGTCAGATATACGTATCTATACTATCTGATTGACGATAGACCTATCGAAAGTTCTCTCTCGTTATCGGAGGTGTTTGGTAATTAACTATAGGCTTGCGCCTATAGGAAAACCAAACTTAAATTCAAAATCCTCGCAAAATGAGCAAAAATCTCTGGTTAGGTCTTATCTACAACTCATCTGTCCTTCCAAAATATACCCCGAACTTATCCGCTTTAAAACTCCTCGCCGATACCAAAAAATAAAGCCAAAGCTGCGGAGCCGGCCGAATTTTCGGAGCCCACATTTCTTTGTAATTAAATATAAATGAGTAGGAACTAAGAAGAATAAAAAGATTTAGAGAAAACTGCATGTTTTATGAAAACGTTTATGAATTCATAATAATTTATTTATTTCTCCATTGTAATATTTGGATCTTCCAATTAATATTTTATATAATTATTACTTTACACTTTCACATGTGCATTTTTATTCATAGTATGAAATTTTACTTCATAATCAAAGAATTAATATATCATTCTTTCACATATTATTGAGATATATAAAAATTTACTTTTAACTTATTTTTCAGTTTACACAATATTATTGTTTGACTTACGCCTAGCCTCACGAATGAAAAACGCCTCATAACGCACAATTTTACAACCTTTGTCTAATGATCGGTAAGCATGAATCAAATACAAAAACCATATACATAAAACATCCATTCTATTGTAAAAAATCGCTTGACACCAAAATTAAAAAAGCTTGAATCGAGCTGAACATGAACAATCACCTGCTCTGTTGTTTGCATCCTATAAAAGGTGTACGATTTCTTTAGCTTTAGGATAGAATTTCACTATATATATAATATATATATATATATATATTAGGATCTCACATGTCATAGAGTGATTTAATTTTGGAATTTGGATATATTTTGATAATAGAGTCCACCCCAATTGAGGTTCACTTTTAGCAAGACCATCATCAGAGTTGAATTGTTTGTAATATTCATAATTGCAATTTGAAACCCTAATTTTTGAAAATAAACCTTTCTAATTATGACATACAATAATCACACCCATCACAAGGTTTGTTTGTCTGATTGGATTTATTGTATTGAACCTTATCGACTATGCCCGCTTGCAGAGGATCAAGTTTATGGGGTTCAAGTATTGTTGATTCTAATCTTTATGACTTGGAAGACTGAACTTAAAATATGGGACTTATGACCCCTTCCTATTGGTCCGGCACCCTGCGTGGATAATTTCACTTCAAATTATTTGTAACTTTAAAATTTTGTTTGAATTTTAAAGAATTTTTCATATTTTAAAAGGGTTATGAAGAACACATAATATGATCACAACTTGTTTTGAAGCAAGTATGCCCAAAACACAAACAATCATCAAACAATCAATTCACACTAAAAGTTACAACCATATACACCAAAAAAAAGAAAGAAAATCCTAGTCCTAGGATGTCTAAAGGGTTATACATCTATGTTGTGCAGGTTCATGTGGCTGCCACACTATTATTTAATGTATTATTTTTTTGTAAAATAAGAAAAAAAATTAATTTTAGTCTAGGGATGGTTTCACCCCAAGTTTTTATAACATAAAATTTTTATATGAATTATAAAGGAGTTTCATTTTTTAAATGGGCTATGAAGAACTCATAGAACGACTATAATTTATTTTGAGGCAAGTATGCCATTTATACTGCCTTTAACAATAACTTAGACATTCCATCTTTTGGAATCCTCTCTCTTCTTGGCGTGGTGTCGCGTTATAGTTTATTCTGAATTCAAGTTTTTCAATGTTAAATCCGGGTGTGCTTTCTTTTCAGTTGTTCGCTACATAGTTTTATTCCCGACAATCCCTTGCAAGCTCACCTACTAAAAATCCGACAACTTTCTAGCATCCCCCTGCTTAGAGGGCATCTATGAAAAGTAATAGGTCTTCCCATCACACTAAAAAAAGCATGCATTGTCAATATCTAAGAGATTGTAACCAGAGGGTCTTCATCCCGACCATGCTTAAAAAACATTCATGCGCCTTCTTTTCTTGTGCAAAAATAAACAGTGATTTTGCCACCATAAAATAATGTGCACGAGTATTTATGTACGAGTTTACGTGTTGCATTGAACAAAATGCACAAGTACTAAATTTTGTTTCTTTTCTTACATTTTTACCGAACACAAGGCGGCTTTTCTTGCACTTGGCAACAATGCAAGGCAAAATAATTGACGTGAGTAGAACAAAATATTTCTCTATAATACTTGTGAAAATTTTCTTTTATTTTCATTTAATTTTAGGCCCTTTAAGCCCTTCTTTTTTGCTCTTTTTTTTAAAATCATCTTTCTTTTGTCTTTTTTAGATATAGAAAGAGAAAGAGAGTGAGAATGATAGGGAATGTAAAAAGATGGAAAAGAAAGGGATTTAAAGAAGATGCAGAGAGAAAGTGACACAGAAAAAGAAATAGAGAAAGGGAGAAAGTGGGTAGAGAAAGATGAGAGAGAAAGCTAGAGATAGAGCTAGAAAGAATGATACTGGAGAGAAAGGAAAAGAGGTGGGCAAAGGAGGAGAGAATAAAGAGAGGAAGCTAGGGAGAGAAAAAAGTGAGGAAGAGAGGTTTTGGTAGAGAGAGAGAGAGAGAGGAAGAGAGATGGAGAGAGGAAGAAAGAGAAAGTTTGAGAGAGACCTATGAGGGATAGTTTGGTGGCAAGATTAAGACACAATTTAATTAGGATTGAACTTAAATCCTATTAAACATCCAAAACAATAGTTCTAATCCTTCATGATTTAAAATCCTGTTTCTCCTTCGTTTGCCTTTAATCCCAAATATATTAAATATGGGTGAACGACAGGATTAACTTAAATGTTCATGTATGATAAACTCTTCTTTTCAAAATGTTGTGGTCCTATCAAAGCCTCTGCTAACAAGCTCCCATCACGATTCCTCGCATTGTGTTGTCGAGGGTTTAAAAACCTGGGTCGGAGTGGAAGGCAGTTGTGTGTGAGAGAAGAGAGATAGAGATAGTAGGGGTTTGACAAGCTCCGCGATGGCTGGCTTAGGGCTTTACAATGCTAGTGTTTGAGGGAGATACAAAGAAGAATGGAGGTTGAATGAGAGGTGCGAGCAAAGGGACGACTCTCATGGGCCCGATGAGGTCTGTGATGGAGCTACCAATGGCGGCTGAAGAGAGGAAGTCGTAAGGGGGTCGAGGAAGTGGAGTTCTTTGCTTCTCGTGTAAGGGAGTAGGAAGACTAAAAGAGGATGAGGGCATATAGTTCTTGACAGAAAGATGAAAGCAAGAGAGCATGGCAAGGGTTTTGTATGAGAGGACTATAAGTTCGTGGGAGACATGTGGCATGGGGAAATTGTGGGGTTTCTTTTTTTTTTTTTTTTTTTGAAATAGTAGTGGATCAACATGGAGCTCCCAGTAATATAGGATATGAACCTCTAGGAAGGAATTCATGACACAATCTCATCCATGCATTTGCAATGAAATGCTTTACGTGACTCGAACAACAAACTTCCAAAATACACTAGATGCGGCATAAGCACTATTATAGACCGAACCTCTTCAAATGTATTAAGATTGCAATACTATTCAAACTATAATGTAATATGTCAGAGGTCAATGGCTCCATTCATAGTGCGTTGTCTAAAAAGAGGTATCATTTAGAATAATCAATATGATTCTAGCCTTTCTCATTTGCCTCTCATTTATGCATGTCATCTATATAACAACAATTTAGATTTTGATCATATAATGCTATTAAAACAACCATTACCTTTAAATGTTGGTGATCCAAAAAAGCACCATGCACTCGAGTAGACGGTGGTTGAAATATCTCCCTTGTTAATTTGTTAAAAGGTGGGTCACGGAATGTTACTATAAATGCTCAATCCATCATGTTCATTACCAAGTTTAGTAATACAAGAAAAGCTATTTCTAAGAAGAAATACTAAAAAAACATATAATCACAGTTCACTTGAGGATTCTGGGTATGTATCCTAAGATTAGGAAAAAAAATTACGGCCCAACCTTAATGAACGGAACTAAAGGAATGCAGATGATAGGATCTCAACCAAAGATGCAAACAAATTAGGAAATACACACGCAATTCAAAATAATAAGGGTGTTTCCATGCCTGTCTACTAAAGAATTTGCCTTCAGACATTTGTGACAAAGTATTGAAAAATAGTAAATGCATACTTTCTCCAAGTTGGTATCATCACCCTTTACTGTACCCTCAGATGGCCCACCAACACCGAGAATATTCCCCACTGAATTGTTTTCAGTGATCGCAGCATCTTCATCTATGTTCCTGTAACAACAAAACGCCAGTGTTCAATGCATATGGCACATCTATTAATGATTTGTGACTGTCTAAAGCAAATAAAACTTGAAAAAAAAAATGATAAAAATTAAAAACTTTCACTGCCAAAATACAATTGGTGAGAATTCTAGTTTAAGAAATCTCATAAATAAAAAAAGATTACAAACATAAAAAAACAGAACTTTCAATAAAAATTTGAAATGTATAAACTATAAATGATAGTAAAATCACGTATACAAATGTATTAATGTTTGAATGAAAGACAGGATGATATTTTTGGAATAATGACTACAATTTACATGTACGGGGATAGAATTAATTTCAAAAGTTTTATGGTGTACATAAAAAAAATGAATAAATAAAATAAAATATCAAATCATCAAGCGCAAAACTTGTAAATAAATTTCACAAAAAAACAAAAGTTTTTCAGATAAGAGAAAGATGGAGAGAAAGTACGCGAGAGAATAAAAAAAAGGCAGTTGATTTGGGTTTGAAATGGTTGCGAGCATTGCTTTAAAAACCGGACCGAACCGGCCAGTCTGACCTGATTTTTATTTTTTTACTTGATACTATTAATTTTTTTAATTGATAATATTTATTTTTTAAATATTTTTTGTTATATATATTATGAAGTTTATGTATATTCATATTTGTTCGTTAAGCCGCTCGAGTTGAATTTATATGATATAAATTATAATATAAAAATTAATTTTATAATTTGAATAATATTTATTTTTTTAAGTTTGTTTGGAAAATTTTTATTTTCTTTTTTTTTTGTTAATAATATTTTTTATCAAATAAATTACTCTTATGTTAAAAAAATTGCAAAATTTCAGTTTTTGAACTCTAAAAATTTTTATATTACCAAATGAAATATTTTTATATTAAAATATTTAATTATATTTATAATTTTATGTTGAGAATTTTTAAATAATTTATATTTATAAATTAAATCTAAATATGTAATATAAATTTACAATAATTTAATAATTTATATGAAATTATATGATTATTATATTCCATTATTTTATTAATGTCATGGCTAACAAAATAATAAGGAATAGAGTTGAGAGATCCTACCAACTTTTGCCAAGCTACAGTTACAACCATTGAGGAAATAGCGATCATGTCACTATGGCAACACTAACAGTTGTGTAGAAGCACCATGGCAACAAATTAACTAGGGATTTGATTAATTTGATTTAGACATCATTTTATTTCCTTGTATCTACGAAAATAATTGATTCTTACCAATGGGCTACATTCTATAAGGTTTATCTCGAGTTCTACATAAAATTTATAAACCTGTTTTTACGGAGAGATAGAATGAATAGAGCTTTTTTTTATTGAGCTACAGCATAATTTACAAATCCTCAAAGCATAAGGTTTTCTTCCTATATTTCAAGGGATTAAAGGTGCATATGAGGGTGAGCTAGTAGATCTCCCTCTTCTTTTGAGTGACTTGACAATATCCTATCCCTTTCTGCACCAAATCATCCTTCTTCCTCTCATCCTTCTACATGACATTGTCCCAAAGTCTGTTAGCCCCAAGTCAAATGGCAAATGCACAACCACCCTTTTCTTTTTTATAAGCCTAGAGAAGGGGTTGAAGGTAAACTTGACTTGGGGCTGAAGATATTCTTCTTGTTGATAAGCCTAGATAAGGGGTTGAAGGTAAACTTGAACTATGGATGTCAACCTTAGAGTCTAAAGGTTTTCATTTGAGTAGATCTAAAATAAAATACATAGTGTAATTTTACTAGTAATAGATCTAGTCGGCAGGGACTTTGGGCGATTAAATCATTAATAAGAGTACATGTTTTAGATATCTCACTGTTCAAAGTGATGGTGAAATATATGGGGATATTATTAGTAGAATTTAAGTTAGATGGTTGAACTGGAGGAATGCATCGAATCTGTTCTGTAATAGAAAAGTAACCCTAAAGCTTAAGGGAAAATTCTATAAGATGGTGGTGAGACTTGCAATGTTTTATGATGCAGAATGTTGTCCATTAAAAGAGAAGCATAAAATTAAGTCAAGTGTTTCAGAAAAAATAACAAAATTTTCACAAATTCCTTCTCCTTTAAATGCTAATCAACTAAATGTGATTTCCTTGCATTAGAAGATTTTTTTTTTTTTTTGTGTTGCAGTAGATTACTTTGGTCCTTTTTTAGACTAGAATATTGACTCCAACAAAATAACAAAAATTTTACTCATTTCTTCTCCTTCAAATGCGCTAATCAACTAAATATGATTTCCTTGCATTAGAAGAAACAGTTTTTTTGTGTTGCAATAGATTACTTTGGTCCTTTCGTCACTAGAATTACTATTAAGTGTTATCCCAGATATTTCTTCCTAATAATCTTTCAGAGTTGAATTAAAATACCATTTTAAACTCTAGTTGTCTGAATATCATTGTGAAGTAGATCCGGGCAAAATAAGTCCTCTAAGTATTAATATCATATTCCACCAAACTCAAAATACAATTAACACACATAATGCTTAGCTAAATAAACATTTCATACAAAAGAAAATCATTTCATCTATGTGATCTTGAGAAAGATAAAAAAAAAAATATAGACGTCCAAAGAGGTACAAGTTTAAAAATATATCAATGCTATCTGAGAATAATGGTTAGAAGGAAGCACAAAGAGGTAGCATCTTCCTAGAGCAACTGTTATTGCAACAAGATGATCTCATGGGAACATAAGGATGCCAAAAGCCTATATAAAAAAACTGTAACGCTAACATTTAAGCTCTCTGTATATCCACCCCACAGGTACAGCAAAACTTTCATCCACGGGATGAAAAATTCTCAAAGCATCAAGTAGTACAGACGCATCTTATTTTAAAATGATTCACAAACAGGCAACTACTTCATAGTCCAACAATAAGTATCACGTTTTCCTGATAGCAATAGTAAGCTTTCATTACAGAAAATAAAGTAAATGTTCCAAGTCTAATAATGGCAAAGAATCCCCCGTGATAGCAGCTATTTCAAACATTTATTATACTCTGGAATCAAAGAAAAGTTTTGAAGAACAAGGAAAAGGAGAGAATTGGCATCACATACAAGTCAATGTTATGTTCTGAGAAGTGGCATCACAAAGGAAAGTATAGCATAATCAACCAAAAAATAACAAATGGCAGCAGTAACAAGAAAAGGTTATAAAAAATGCTCACCCGGCAGTTTTATCCAATAAATATTGAAATTTAATAAGGACTACTTATTGCAACAAGCTCCCAATAGTTTGCAGAAACTTACTTAAGTGATCCACCTATTTCACGGAGAGAGGACTGCAGAGCACGTTTCGAATTCTGAATCCAAGGATGTTGTAGCAACGTTCTTGCATCTGGCCTTTGCAAAGCATCCTAAAATATTACTACCAGTAAGCTTGGTGACGAGATAGAGAATGCAGAATTAAGGAAAATGTGTATCAATCTTAAAAACTTAAGGGAATATATTAATTATAAATTGCCTTCTTTTATAATTTACCTTTTTAAAACATTGCCGTAGAAAATCAGTAATATCAGTAGATAGGCCCTCAGGTATTGGGGGATGTGGATCCTACAGAAAACAAAATACGAAGCATATTACTTGCAGGGAAATTTTTTGTTGAAAAAGGAGATAGATTAGGTCCCTAAAAAAATCATTAAAGCAACCAAATTAGGAATTCAGGACAAAAGCACAAATTTATAATCATGTCAAAATGAAAAGGCGGCAGTAATGTATGATCATACAAATCAGAGGATAAGGTTGATATGGATAAAGACAACACATTGCACTGCTCAGAACAAAATCTAACAAAAAGAAACGAATATAAGCAACAACATAAAATTCTAAGGATAAAACCACTGGCAACAACAAAAACAAATTGAAACAGACATAAAAATAAGAAAAATCACAGTAACAACGATTTTGTTTTGTTTCATATGCTTTTTGATGAATAGCAATGGGTTTGTGAAAAACTCCTACCTGATGAGCACAATTTCAAAGTAGAGCATGGACCATAAAACACTCACAAATGACTAAGCAAAGTCTAATTTGACAAATTAATTGTATGTGGGCCCAATCATTTCAAAATTGGCTCAACCAACCTGCGCTAACAAGTCAAACAAAGCCCAAATAAGCTTAAAGTGATCCGATTGAAGCCTGAAAAGGCTACAACCGGCAAAAGCTGACTGATCCCATCATCTTCTTTGCAAGCTTCTTGTGCCTGTGTGAGGGGCAAGTGAGGAGCAAGCCCAAACATCTATGTATATATAAACTTGAGAGAGGACAAAGGCATGCCCCAAGGAGGCTAAGGTTTATTACTAAAATTTGATTTTAAAATTGACATATGGACACAATTTCTAGATAAGCATCAACTACTTTAGGCCTCCAATCAAGTCTAAATCACACCTAAGTTCAATCATTTCCACTCAATTTTAAAGTGCAAATTATAAAGCCCCACTTCAAAGCGGATTGTTAGCCTCCTTGTAAGGTTCCATAGAGCATAAGGTCAAAGAGCTATATTTAGCTTAAGCTATCATAAGCAAATTTAGGAATCCCACCTATTGAGCAGACTATTGAATCCTCCCTTTCGAATCTTATAGAGAACTAAAAGGTTGAAGGGTGAAACTTGACCAAAAGTCACCTGAGAGGATCGATGAATTCCCTCTCATGGTGCACCATTGATTGAACCCATTCCCCTTTCAATTCTAATAAAGGGCTAGGAGATCAAAGAGTAAAACTCAACCGAACATTTGCTCCCTAGTGGATTATTGAATTATCCCTTTTAGAACTCATAGAGGACCAAGAGTTTAAGCCTTTACTTCTACCAAAGGACTCCCGAGTGGATCCAAAAAATGATTTTGCTTCCAAACCGTACATCAACTACTACTTCCAACCCTAGCAACCAAAATCGCCTCCAAGCCTAACATACACAACTACCTTTGAACTGATGCAGACAAAAATTTGGGAAGAAGCCCCAGATTTTTGCGAGCAAAAAACCAACCTTCCTAGATAAAAGAAATGACACAAATACTCAAAAAAACACCTTTTATATCATAAAAAGACACCATCAATTCTTGACACTTACAAACACAAAATAAAGACACCTAAAGTTGCAATTCCATCGTTTGAGAAGAAGGATACATGTGGAGTGGTCACTTGCAAAGAGAATGAGGAGGTTAGAAGTCCGAGACGAAGGATAGTAGGAGCTCGCAAGCTTTCCTAAAAAGGAGAGGAAGAAGTGGCATAGCTCACAAGCTATCCAAGAAAACCCTCAGGTTTCTTTCCAAAAATCAGCCATCAAAAACTCTTTTCTAACATAAAACACCACATATTTATAGGCCAAAAGAGGGCAGCACAACAGTCCCTAAAATCTTATTTAAAACGGGAAATAGAAGGCCAAAAGACACCACAAATAGCTGCTGAAAAGACATCCAAAATATCAGCCAAATACATCCCACAAAACTGCACAGAAAACAGGGAGAAATAACTACGGGAAACCCAACCAGAAGCCACGGGAAGCCCAGCCAGCAAGGGACCCGAAGAGCCAGCACAGGAAACAGGGCAGAGCTTCACAGGAAAACAGCCATGGGATAAAACCGAGAGGGAGAGGTCACGGGAACAGCAACAACCAAGGCCCCAAACCGAGAACAGCAAGCAGCCCAAGGCCCAACTAGTGAACAGTCAAGGCCCCAAACCGAGAATAGCAAGCAGCCCAAGGCCTTAATTCCATGGAAGAAATCAAAGAGACTCAAGAAGGGGAAGAGACATGAGTGGGGAAACTAAAGAGTCTTTAGAGAGGGGAGTAAAGGAGGGGGAATAAATCTAATTTTGACAATAAATTCACAATTTATGAGCTGAAATAATAAGAAGAGGCTCATTAATGAGCTGACTCTAGTAGAACTTACAAAAATGAATCCCAACTTGTTTTGACCCCCCCTTGCCTACATCAAATTCTCCTTCGGTTGAAAATGCTCATCTCCCGATAAGGTTGCTTTAGATTTCATCTAAGGAGGCAACGAAGGCGCCTCAAGCTCTTAAATTTGGGCTACGTACTTCTTCAGGATCTTCTCTTGCTCCAACTTGAATTGGGCTTACAGAAATTTCTTCCTATCTCGAATTTCTCATCACATAAGTATATCCATTGTTGTATCTTGTAAAGTTCATTTTGATTTGGGTCAGTTGAATCTCCATCTGTCGGAACCCATCTGTCCATCGGAAGAGGGACTTCAAGATCTTCTGGCTTGCATTCTTCCACTGGATCACTATTTTTATCTTTTTTGTTTTCATTTTTTAAACACTTAAAAAAAAAAGACACAAAATAACCTAGGAAGACTCACAAACCAAGGATATGCTAACTTGCTCTGATACCAATTTGATGCAGGCAAAAATTTGGGAAGAAGCCCAAGTTTTTTGCGAGCAAAAAGACAACCTTCCTAGATAAAAGAAATGACACAAATACTGAAAAAAAACACCTTTTATATCATAAAAAGACAACTCTTGACGCTTATAAACACAAAATAAAGACACCTAAAGTGGCAATTCCATCGTTTGAGAAGAAGGATACATGTGGGATGGTCACTTGTGGCGAGAAGAATGAGGTTAGAAGTCCGAGACGAAGGATAGGAGGAGCTCGCAAGCTTTCCTAAGAAGGAGAGGAAGAAGTGGCATAGCTCATAAGCTATCCAAGAATACCCTCAGGTTTCTTTCCAAAAATCAGCCATCAAAAACTCTTTTCTAATATAAAACACCACATATTTATAAGCCAAAAGAGGGCAGCCAAACAGTCCCTAAAATCTTATTTTAAAACCTAATAAATAAGGGGAAATAGAAGGCCGAAAGACACCACAAACAGCAGCTGAAAAGACATCCAAAATATCAGTCAAATACATCCCACAAAACTGCACAGAAAACAGGGAGAAATAGCTACAGGAAACCCAGCCAAAAGCCACGGGAAGCCCAGCCAACAAGGGACCCAAAGAGCCAGCACAGGAAACAGGACAAAGCTTCACGGGAAAACAGCCAGGGGATAAAACCGAGAGGGAGAGGTTACGGACTCACGGGAACAGCAACAGCCAAGGCCCCAAACCGAGAACAGCAAGCAGCCCAAGGCCCAACCAGTGAACAGTCAAGGCCCCAAACCGAGAACATCAAGCAGCCCAAGGCCTTAATTCCATGGAAGAAATCAAAGAGACTCAAGAAGGGGAAGAGACATGGTGGGGAAACCAAAGAGTCTTTAGAGAGGGGAGTAAAGGAGGGGGAATGAATCTAATTTTGGCAATAAATTCACAATTTATGAGCTGAAATAATAAGAAGAGGCTCATTAATGAGCTGACTCTAGTAGAACTTACAAAAATAAATCCCAACTTATTTTGACCCCCCCTTGCCTACATCAAATTCTCCTTCGGTTGAAAATGCTCCATCATGAACCCATCATATGATGCAACCTATGAACCGAACCAACTCATTAACTCCAAGTAGGCTCCCCTTACTACACCTCACAAACACCAAGTTGTCATTCATCATTGATGCCAAGAAGACTTCCTTCACTAACATCAAGCGGCCTTCATCTCTGGTGCTAATTTAGTTTTCATCATGCACACATTCAATACATACTTCCATCCCTGTCCACTTGAGATATTTAAGAGGAGTCAAACTACAATTATTAATTAGCCCAGCTAGACATTAAGGCTTGATGCCTCTAACATTTGCATACGAAGTCCACAAATAGACGGAAGAAAGTGGAATTGGATTTTCATCAGGTTATCTCCATTCTCACAACTATTAGAAACTCATCAAATATGAGTCTAACGCTAAGCCTAAGAGACATAACAAAGAGTGCTCTCTATGATTGTGAGGGACAATTAACAGTAGGGGATTGCAATTATAAAAAGTCTCGACCCTAAATCAAGATAAATCATGACCCAATATAAAGGGAAAATTTATTAACAAACTCAGTCCACATCAAAAAAATAAAAACCTACTCCCATGTTCTAATTTAAGGATGCTCAAGGGGAGCTTTTCCTAAGAGATCAAATGGATATATGGATATAGGTTACTCAGGGCTTCTCAAATTTTTATTCAATCCTCTTCAGATTTCTAATAAAAAAAATTGTTCATATAATAAACACCATATCTAACCGGATAGAAAGTGGTTATTAGGGGTGTCATTGAATAAACAACTCGTGAGCTAGCAGGTGTCATTGAATAAATGGCTTGCACGTTGAGCTTGATTAGCTAACAAGAAAAAACTCATGCTAGTCTCAAAACTGCTCCTTGGCTTGTAAACTAGCTCATTTAAAAATATATAAATTAATATTAAATACACTTTGAAAATATTAAGATTCAAAATTCAAGGAAAAAAAACTACAGTTTTCTTCCTAGTTTCAATTGATTCACGTATTTTAATGCAAATTTCTCATTATATTTATCATTTTATCACTACAATTACATTGATTAGCATCATTTATTCTATTTAAAGATAAACCAGCTGACATGTGAACCAGCTCAAATTTAAAATTGAGCTCACGCTTGATCTCAATTTGCCATGGACAACTCAGGCAAGGCTCAATTCATTTACATCCCCAGTAATGATCACTATAACCTCGGTACTAAAAATACAAATCACTTTTCTTTCGTTGTTGCATTTAGCTTCCATCTAAAGTCATTATGTCATAAATTTTTGTAATTACATATATCCTCAATTTGATCTTGCAATAGAGTAGAAATTTGTGGAATGATCCAAGGAGGAATTAGGACTAGTAAACATGTGAGCCTCAGATGGGCAACAATGAGAAATACTAAAAACTCTTGGGCTTCCATCTTTCCCATTGTTGGTAATGGTTGTGTAATTAGTGAGAGCTCTCCAGAGCCTCATTGCTCAAGAATATCCTCCATGGAGTAGAGGACTACATAATTGTCACTGATTCATATATATAAAATTAATTTGACCCTCCATTTAACTTGCTAGACCAATTTTGATCATCCTTCACTTTCTAATGGCATCATTCCCTATGAATATTAATTAATTGATTCTTTTTTAGTTTCTTCATATATTCTTTATCTATACCTCCTGAATTCATTCTTTTGAGGCATTCATTCTCCTAATTTGGTCAATATCCTACTTATTATTGTCATTCTGGCTCTCCCTCTATTAGATACTTCCTTTCTCAACAATCAAGTATCACAGCTCTACCAAAAATCTCAACTTTTCACTACTCTGCTTGTCTATTTGTCAAAGCCGAATTAGTTAATTTCAGATTTCTCAAAGAGGAAATCTATGCTAAAGCTTTCAATTGTTAGATCCCTCGGTTACTACACTTCTCTCTCTCTCTCTTTTCAATCCTTGTGTGTGTGTATCAAGGTTCGAAATTACGCAATCAAGCATTGAGACATTTTCTTTTAGCGAGGCAAGATGTAAGCCTGAAGGTGTTTTGAGGCATAAGTCTAAAAATTAAACTATGAAGTTAATTAAAAATATGAAATAATAAGTAATATACTAACATCAAAGTAAAGTCATGAAAATAAATTACTCTCGCCCCTAATTCAATATGGACAAGAATTTTAAGTCTCTAACATTAAAATTTATAAATTTAAAAGTCTCCCCAAATCTTCTTAATGGGTCTTCGTAAGAATCATTTGCTATAGTGAGTAGGTTTCTCTCCTCCCTCATCCTTAATTGTGGTTATAATTGCGAGCGGCGATGAGCGCAAGAGCTAGGAGTGGCTGGAATTGAAAGAGGTGAGTCTGATTATAGAAAAAACAAGGATTTATTTTAAATATAATTTAGAAAAAAGCTCAAAACAGTCCCCAACTACTATTAAGTAACCAATTCAATCCCAGGGTATAGCATTATTTCAATTTGGTCTCTTGATTATTGAAAAGTTATCCAAAATGATCCCACAATAAAATTCACTGTATAATTTGATGCAAATTACAAAGTTGGCTATTATATTAATAAAGGAGGATATTTAGTAGTCAAATTTATAATTATTATTCTTTTTTAAATCCTCAGAATTTAAATCTCATTTCTCCTCTGTTTCACCGTAAATCTCAAATTTAGCAAATCCTAGCATTAGGCGGATTTAACAAATTTGCTGGTCACACAAATACTTCTTCACATGGCATTGCTCCCATAAATGCCTTCTCTAGCAAGCTTAGCTCCCTTTAAGACTTTCTAGCTACTCTGTCATCCAGTGTTTCGTCAATTTGGGGGAGAAAGACATGGGTTTGGAATTTCAAAATTATTAATGCTATTTGCATTAATTGAATAAGATATATTAAATAAAATTTTAAATCAATTTTAATAAATAATATTAATTTATTCAAATGCATCAATTAAAATAATTAATATTCCTTGTGATTTAATTTAATGAAATAAATCAACTTATGTTTAGTTAGTTACTTAGTTTTATAACCAACTAATTTTAATTATAGTGTATAAATATAAGAATACTAAAACATAATATTACAAATTAATATAAAGAATATAAAGTACTTTACAAGAATATCATTTATTCCACTCAAATAAATTAAATCACACAATAGTAAATGTATGTAATCGTACAAGTGATACAAGATAGGTAACATAAAAAATATAACTTTATACACATTTGCACTACCTAAAATACACAAATTTAATTTTTCGCATCAACTTTAACTGTGAATTTCAACCTTATGATCATTTGGAATCAATTTTTAATAGTCGAGCAACCAAATTAGAACAATATGATACTGTAGGACTAAATTGACCTCTTACTAATAGTCAGGGATTCATTTTGGGTTTTTTTTTTTAATTTAATTTATAAACTAAAATTTTAATATCACCTAAACCTTGTAACTCGTTCCTCTTATAAATTTAGACACGCCCCAACCCTGCTAAGGCGAACGTCTCTCATCAGGCCAAGGTGAGAAGTACGACTCATGGCATTTGTTTTTTCAAAATTGCGATGAGGCGACCCTTGAGATATGCCTTTTATTGTGCTATATATATATATATATATATATATAAAAGACACTCTTTACTTGAGATTCGAAATTCAATTAAATTACAACACAAAAGAGATGAAATGAAACTGAAAATCGAAGCATCCCTTACTGCTGCAAAAAAATTAATTTAATCTTCTATCAGTATAAAAATAGATTTAGAAATTTCTGTTAAGTGTCTTTGGTGTGAACCTGCACAATACGAAAGAGAGCTGGCATAGGTTGAAGCTCATAATAAGGAGGAACGCATGTAAGCAATTCAATAACAGTGCAGCCAACACTCCAGATATCTGATGCAGCACAGACCCCCGACATTTCAATTACCTAGAAAATCCAAATTTGTGGTTCAACACTGATCAGAAGTACGAAAAAATGAACAACACTAAGTGAACAAGAAAGTTAATCCAAGTAATAAAATAAAATAAAATATTAATGATAAGCAGAATATGTTGAACATTTCATAAAAGAATTTAAAATCCAAAAAATGTCTCACTGTAATAGCTTTCTCCCACTAGGCAACTAAGAACATAGTAAGTTCAACACAAATTTATGGTTCTTATCAAGAAACAGAATGCAAAAGCTTAAAAAAGAACCTGTGAATGTACTAGGTGGTTACAAAATGTCAAATAGTGTTAGGCCAAGTTATATATATCTTCTCGCCAATTTAAAAGGTATTGGTGCTGATCCAAATGCATTATTCACGATAGCATGTCTATCAAATTATTGAAGGATAAGTTACATCAGGATTCTTTCAAGTTTGGACCATGCAATGATTACAACAACATTTTCAATTTTTCACCATTAGGTAACTAAAGTTTAAAAATGTTCCATATAAAAACTTAAGTTAACTAAACATAAAACCATCCCTTCTAGACGGTTTGTAAAGAGCCATTTCTATTTTCAATAGTTACACTCAGTTCAAATGCCTTCTCTCTACCCACACATCTTCAACCATCTGTACACCCAACCACATTTCCTCCTTCCCCATACCAAATCATGCCACCAATATCCAGAAAAATGAGCGCCTGAATGCTATTCAGCCCACAACCCCTCAATAAAAGGACAATGAGAGGAAGAGGGTGACAAGGAAGAAAGAAAGAGATCGGCCAGGTAAAAAGTGGAAAGTAAACTTAAAAAACTTCAGGTCAAATCGAGAATTCTTTTAAGTAGTGGACAAAATCAAAGCCTACCTGAAAAGCAAAATAAAGAAATTAACCAAGTACGTCAGACATTAGGAGCCTGCTGTGGAGGAGAATGCAGAGCAATAACATGAACCTCCAAGAAGATCAAGTACAAGATCACAAATAAAAGTAAATAAATTAATATACTTAGTTAATTATGCAATCATATAATTAATGCAAATGCTTCAATAGTTATATAAGCTATTTCATTTCGTCTAGTTCATTTAGTAGAAGTTTGGAGCATTCCTGAAGCTAATTAATTGGAAGTATTAAAGTAGACTTTCCCTCTTTTCAAAGAGAGGAAGTTACAAATAATTTAAATTTGAGAGTTATATTTCACGAAATATTAAAAGTGGACAGTTACATCTGATGGAAAGCCAATAATGGGAGGCGGACAGATAACAAATAGGAAGAATTCAAATAAGAGTTCTAGAAAGCCTTAATCATGAAGGAAATAAATTTAATTTCAATTTCATTCTTATATTTTGAATTTTAGGGTTGAACTTTTGTTTTGTAAATACTTAATAAATGGAATGAAGAATACTCTTTCTTTATCCACAAATTCTTGTTATTCATGCTTGTGAGTTTGATAACATAGACTTGGTTTGTGAACCAACCAAGGTGAACTCTATAGAGCTCATCATATTTTTTTCTTAATCCATCTCCCATCTCATTCTAACCCTCTTTATCCTCTCAACCAAGACTAATCTTCTCCCAAATTCATCAGATTTCCTCAGCTTGTACCCACTTCTCTTGTCCGCAATAAATATCAACCTCTTCCACCTCACACGAGCTCTCAGTCAATCAATGTCACTAACCATTTTCTAGCATCCCTATCTTAAATTTTCAACAAGCACTTCAAACTTTTGCAAGCTTGAGTAACCCCATGAACATCAAATTAATTTTCATCATTGAAGCTCCAAAATAACCACCAATTTGCCAACATTTTCATATCAAAAGGATCCAAAATCGCCATCTTGAAGGCTTGAAGAGGAGTTGAAAGCTAAAGAGGCTTCCCCATAAAACTAATACGCCTAAATAAATAGGAAGTAGAAAGAGGTCTCCAACAACCTTCAACAATTGACTTAAAAAAATGATAGATTTAATTTCCACTTAAGGGTAAACTTTCAAGCACAAGCCTTTGAATTTTAGGGCTCCCTAGAAGCGACGCGCTGTATGGCCTGAATATACTGAGAATTGCGCAAGGGCCGCAGCATCGACACCCAAGTGCAGCGTTAAATAGGAAAGGATTCCCACATCATAGAGAGATGTGGGCAAAGAAGCTAATCCATGAAACTAAAGTTAAGATAAGAACTTGGAATACAGGTTCCCTTATAGACAAATAGATGGAATTAATAAATATTATGATTCATAGGAAGATAAATATTTTATGCATTCATGAAACTAAATGGCTTGGAGAGAAGGCTAAGCAAATTGATAGTTTAGGATTTAAATTATGATATTCTGGTAGGAGTCATGCTAGAATTGGTTTAGATGTGATTATAGATAAGAGTTTAAAGAATAATGTTGTAAAAATTAATAGAATTAGAGATAGAATTATAGATTTAAAGATTGTTGATGTTATGATTATTAATATCAGAAGTACTTATGCTCCTCAAATAGGTTTGGATATGTGTTCAAAATTAAAATTTTGTAATGACTTAGAAGAATTAATATAAAAGATACCATTTGAAGAAAGAATTTTTATTGAAGGAGATTTAAATGGACATGTGGTAAAGAGGTAGATGATTTTAAAAGCATTTATGAGGGCTACGGGTTTAGAGCGATTAATGAAAATGGTAATACCATATTAGATTATTTTATAGTTTATGATTTTGTAATTGTTAATATCTTATATAAGAAAAGAGATGAGCATCTTATCACTTATAAAAATGGATAGAGTAAAACTCATATTGATTATTTTCTTATAAGAAAAATAATCGATTAGATTGCAAAATTTGTAAAGTTATTCAAGTGAAAATTTATGTATCCAACATAGCTTATTAGTTTTGGATATTAAGATGAATGGGCAAAATATAAAAAACATATATATATATATATATATATATATATATATATATATAGAGGAGAAATTTTGTGATCTTAAACAAATTGTATATTTTGTGATCGAGCACATCATAGAAAATAATATATTATCCTGATGGATAAAAATATTAACAGAGATTTTCTCCCTTTGAACATAAGAAGATATGTTATAAATATTTATTTATATATAAAAATTTTGATAATTGGGAAAGATATAAAGAGGTCCGTAAAGAGTCTAAGAAAGCAATATGTTATATAAATATTTTAGCTTTTAATGAATTATATAATAGATTAATCATTAAGGAGGACGAAAGATATATGTATAAATTAGTCAAACAAATAGATACGAGTAGTAAGGATTTAGTTCAAGTGAAATACAATAAATCAGGCGCTCATTGTAGATAATTTGAATTGTATCAATTCATATTGTGTTTTCATTGCCCAAAGAAAGCGTAACTTGTCTTGGACCATCTAAGAAATGATGAAGTCAATATTTCAACATATAAAACTGTCATAGCCAAAAGATGTTATAAATTTAAGCATATATAAAATAATTTAAAAATTATTTACATTATTGATTTTGCATACTATTCTTCTTTACTAGCAACAAAAAACTATAAGAAAAGCTCATGGAAAGTATAACAATGAAAGCAGCACCAAGTATGAATGATTGGAGGACAGATATACAACCCTATATTATCAGGTAAGGCTAATGATGATGAAAATTGAATCTTTTGGTTCAAATCAACTAGACATAATATATGATCCATTCCATATGCCTTGATCTAGTGGGCACAAATATGTTGGTCAGCCAGTGAGCTCTATAAATAAGAACCTAGCAGGACCTCGTATACTAGGCCAAGAACTCTGTGTTATATATAACTTTGTTGAATTACAACAAGTGAGACTAGAGATTATCCAGGTGATTCTATGAAAGCGAAATTTGCACTCGAGAAAAAAGGTAACAGTAGCATGTTACATCATTTGGTCAAGAAAGCCTCTTTTGGGTTATTTTGCTATCGTCCTCTGCAAATTGCCCCAGCCTTTCTCATTTCCTCCATTCATGCATACAAAACTTTTGCATGCTGAAATTTCAGAGTGCTTAAAACATTTCCCTTTTCTTTTCAAGCACGACCCATGGTCATACCTTGCTGTCAAAGATAAGGTAACGGATGAAAGGAAGAATGATGGGAAAAAAGGTAATTATGAAGCAGGTAGAAGGATGGAAAAATCATAGCAGTTTGTTATGAAGGTCACAAGTAATATAAATAAGTCCGACAGTTCCTCTCAAAGTTTTGGCAGCTCCACCGAAAATGACTAAAAAGGAGGAAGCAAATAAACATTAGTTGGTAAGGACGGAAGTAAGAGAAGAATGGAACTGGAAACATGGAGAGTGAATTTGTTGCAGGGGGGTGTGAGAAATCATATTATACAATCAATTTATTGTATGGAAAATTAAATGTCAAAAATACCAAAAGCTTAATAAACAGCTCCCGAATAGATAGTAAATTACTACATATGTTAGAAAAAGCTCATGTCCCAGCCTTTTGCATTCCAACATAAACATTTGCAGGTAATTCAAAATACAAAATTATGTTGATGAAAATGATTTGAAAGTTACCTCAGGGGCCATCCAATATGGTGTTCCAACCACTGAATGTGTATTAAGATCTGCTTCATTTAATTTTGTTGCAACACCAAAATCAGCAAGTTTAACAAGGCCCTGCAAACCATTCCCATGTACTAGTCGGTTAACCAACCAGAAAGAAAGAAATTATGAAAATGAAATAATTACAATGGAAGAAGTAAAGAAAACAGTTGAAAAATCGTATAAAGTTAAATGAGCAAGAAGAAAATTAGCAACACACTTTTCGCATTCATTATAAGCTTTACGGAATAATCCACGAGCAATGATTTTATCTTACTTAAAGTTAACAAGATATTTTATCTTTAACCAATTATTTGATGCAAAATGGTTGGGATTTTAGAAAAAAATAATAAAAAAATCATATAGAGAGTGGAACTAGAGCAATCGTTAGGTTGCTTTAACTGTGACGTCAAGGGCAGGGATTCAAAACCCAGAAACAGACTCTTGTACAATGCAAGAAAGAGATTTACATCCCTAGTTCCATGAAAATGGAGATTTGAAACTTAATGGAGAATGCCTTATAAATAGATCTGTCATTTTTGTAATTCCATTATGTAACAAGCAGATTCTCGTGCAATGAAGCATATGTTGAAAACAAAATGAAAAACATACTTAAATTATAAATGACATAACACTAGAACCTCTTTGGTAGTCAAAATATTTGCACCCTTGATGTCTCGGTGAATAACTCCTTGCTCATGCAAATAAACCAAACCTTCTAAAACCTGTTCATAAGCATCAACATTGATAGAAAAGGTAGTATCTTACAGCATGTAGAAAATAATAGAAAAAGGACATGAACCTGAGATATGTAAACAGCCACTAATGACTCAGGGAAGGGCCCGAATTTGTTTGGCTTAATAATGTTAGCAAGTGAACCATTTTCAACATACCTACAGAGAACAGTCAAAGTATTATGGCATGCATCTAAGATCTTCAAACATAAAAAATGTATCAAAATCAATAGATTAGAAAATAATCTTAAAGAAAGGTGAAGTTATTTGAATTTACTCTAGAATGATATGCAGGTGCGTCTTTGTCTTTAAAGATCCGAGGTACTTCACAATATTTTTGTGGTTAAGATTCTGCAGCAAAAGTATCGCTTTGTGTCATAGATGACTTGATCTAGTTACCAAGATAAATGAATTATTTTTTACAAAGTTAATGAAATCCAAAAATAAATATCAAGGACTAGATTCTGCAGAGTGACTAAAGAGGCTGGATGAATAATAAAGATGAAGGAAAGATGGACTTTGAAACACACTGTCTCCCCAAACCCTATTCACATCCTACGGAAAAAAAAAAATTAAAATTTATTTTCACCTAATTTTAATGTGATTTCAAGCATTTACAGCCCTTTTTGAAACCTATTTATTATTAGAATAGACCTACAACAACAACAACATCAAGCCTTTATGGCTTTATCCCACTCCATGGGAGATGCTACATGAAACTTTTTTCTCTATTGTGTCAAGTTAAGAGTCAAATTCTCATTTAAATCTAATAAATAAAATGTCATTTATAATATTTTCTAACCATGTCTTTTTAGGTCTACCTCTTTTTTTTTTTTAAAGGTCTACCTCTATCTCTCTTAACATTGGCCAAATCTAAAAACATATACTCTCCTAACAGGGTCATCAGAAAGTTGACGTTTTATGTGATGGAACCATTTAAGATGACTCTCTCTAATCTTATCTATCATTGGAGCTATTCCAACCTTACCTGAGCATCCTCATCTCTGCAACACTTAACTTAATTATATTCTTCTCTTTTAATAGACTTGAATCAACTAAAACTTAACAACAACAGACAAAATCACACTAAGACATGCCCAAATAGCTCCCATAAATCAACAAAATGGCATGGAAAGACCATCTAAAAGCAACTTATTAAAGGAAAAAACAAAAAAACAGAAAATAAACAATGGAGACAACTGCTAAAACTCTTCAAATCCAAGCCTCACGTGATTCCATTATCTTGATTCTCCAAATTCTGGAATTTTTTTTCTTTTTCTTAACGGAATTAATTGTGAATCATATGAAACAATTAATAAAATTAAGCAATGCTATTTAGTCTGATTTTGAACAATGCTATTCAACAGAGAAGTTGAACAGTACGGATCATATGATAAAATTAAGCATGTGGTTCAATTATCAAGACTCCTGCAATTATCAAATGATGTTTAAGATAAATGATATTTAAGCCTCCATAAAAAATGCAAAGCGTTGGTTATGAAGTGCAAGCCTAGATTATAAATTGCAAGCACAGATGTACCTTCAGTAGATCAATTTCTTGCTGGATCATGAGATGTCGCCATTTTAGAAAGATACAACAAAAAGATAGTAAGTAATGTTAGAATGCTGAGTTCAGTCCAAAATAACCAAAAATTTAAGAAGCAAAAAAAGAGTTAAATCAATTAAATATATCATAAAAGCATAGTTATATAATACAAAAAGAACTAAACAATCATGTTGGTATTCATTTAACAATAAGCGCTTCAATTAAAATGGTAAAAAGTTCAACGCCTCAGATTGTGCTTCTACGTCATATTGTTCAGCTCTATCAGGGTAGAAAGTTCCAAGAAGTAATACAAGTAACATTATTATCACATAAAACTTCGCATAAACAAACAAGAAGGTTTGAATATAAACAGCATTTGAAATCATGCAGAAAAAATAAAATAGAGAAATCAATAGCGCTATCATATGCACACCAGAATATTGGCTTGTCTCATGAACTATCGCCAGATAAACAGTGTATTTAATCAAATTAGACATGAGTTTCATAAGTGTTTTGGTCAAACAGTTTAAAGCAACAATGCTCACAAGTGCCAAACAACTTGTCATTGCTAGTAATTGCAGAACCAACCGATGTATTTTAGTTGTAAGATCCCAAACATTGCTTGTTGTTAAAAAGAAGTGATTGCCATGCTTAATAAAATCGTTTGATTCCAGAATCAACTGAATTCTCATTCCACTGATGTGGAATTATCTGCAGCCGTGGGACGAATTCCAAGTTTTGATGATATTGTTTTAAGATAATAACATAATAAGAATGGTAAAACCTATGAAAAATCAGCGCATCAACCCTTGAAGTGATACATTTTGAATAATGAGGTTACAATTTGCTTAAGAGCTTTTTCTCTTGGGTGCAATTTGACAAGTTATTAATGCAGTAACGATGCTCATGAGAAACTTCAGACTGAATGGAACAGCTCAAATGAGATACTCTAAACTCTCTTTGGAAGGAGGAAAGATAAGGCCTTAAAGTAAATAAACAGAGGGGTGATGAATTGAGATATTGGAGAAAAATGTATGGTTCTAAGTATCCCATGTAAAATAAGTACACCTCTCATATTGTAAATGGATTTCAAAAAGATTGTTTGAGTCGTGCATTGTTGTGCACAAGACGACCACAACAACAACAATATCAAGCATTTATCCCACTACGTGGGGTCGGCTCAAGAATTATTTTTCTCCATTGTGTCATATTAAGAGTCAAATTCACATTTAAATCTAATAAAGAAATGTCATTTCTAATATTTTCTAACCAAGTCTTTTTAGGTCTATCTCTACCTTTCTTAACATAAGTTAAATCTAATACATCTACTTTCTTAACCAGATCATCGGAAGGCCTCCGTTTTATGTGATCAAACCATCTAAGGCAACTCTCTCTAATCTTATCTTCCATTGTAGCTACTCCAACCTTTTCACGTACATGCTCATTTCGTAATAGTTATGCACAAGACGAAAAGAATGGCATCCCCGGCACATGGAGCTCCCACCAACATAGATTTAGAAAGGGTATATATGCAGCCTCACCAGCAATTGTAGAGAGGTTGTTCAGTGACTCAAACCTAAAAACTCATAACATATAAATAATAAAAAAACTAATGTAATTGCAATATCAGGATCATCAATTGCATCCAATAGATAGGCCAGCCATTCCATCTTATTATAATTGATGACCATAGGACATGCAAAAGAAAATATGAACGTGTGATCAAGAGGAAGGTATATATATATATATTCAGGATGGATAGGGGAAATGCTAAGGAGATTAATAGTTTCGGATTTAAACTTAGGTATTCATGTAGGATTCCTACTAGAAATGGTATAGATGTAATTACAAATAAGAGTTTGAAAGTTAATATTGCAGAAATTAATAGAATTGGAGATAGAATTCTATTTTTAAATATTATTGTTGATGCTAAGATTATTAATGTTATAAGTGTTTATGCTTCTCAAATAGATTGGGATATGTATTCAAAAATAAAAGTTTTAAAATGACTTAGAATAATTAATAGAAATGATACCTCTTGAAGAAAGAATTTTCATTGGGGAAGATTTAAGTAAATATTATGATAGAGTGGTAGAAGATTTTAAAAGGATTCTGATGGAACTTGAGTTGCAAATTTCAGAATCCAGGAAAAACAGCCCAAAAACAGTGGAAAAATGGAAGATTTCTTGGATGAAAACACTCACAAACACTTCGATTACTTAAATATCAAAAGACTTACAAGTTTCCACGAATACAATGCTCTCAATTCGAGAAGAGAAGCTTTCTCCCAAGCCCTAGATTAGAAAAACCTAAAACAGCCACCAAAACAAGATCCCTCCAAAACAAACCCTAACTCCCCTTTAACCCTCACATGATCCCCCCCAAAATACCCTAATTACCCCTAGGGCAAACAAAACAAACTCCCTCTTACATTTGGTGGGCCCCTTGGGCCCACCCGCCTCCTCCCTCTCCTTCGGTCGAACGCCCAGGCGGGCGTTTTCTCCGCCTGCAGTAGGCGAGAACCGGCCCCTTGTGGGCCGGTGCGGATGCGGGATGGACCGGGCGGTCCGGTCCATCAGATTCATAATGACTATAAGTTTGGAGTAATTAATGAAGATGATTGAACCACATAGATTTTTCTTTAACTTATGATTTAAAAATTGTTAATACCTTATTTAAGAAAAGAGATGAATATCGCATCACTTATAAGAATATATATAATGAAATTGAGAATGATTATTTTCTTATAAGAAAAATAGATTGTTAATATTACAAAGATGTAAAGACATTTTGAGTGAAAGTTTATATACTCAGTATCGCTTATTAGTTTTGATTTTAAATTAAATGGGCAAAAAATTAAAAATTACCCAAGAATTAGATGGGGATATTTAAAGAACGATAATAAAAATATTTTTTAGAGTAAGGCTCAAAATCTTAAGATTTTGGTTGTTCATGAGGAAGCTAATGTCATGTTAGAAAAAATAACTAATGATATTAAGAATATTATAAAATATGTGCTTTGATAATCAAAAGGAAAAGCTCCTAATAATAAAAATAATTAATAGTAAAATTAAAATGAACAAGAAAAAAATAAAAAATAAGAAAGTTTATTATAAAAATTAGTTTATATTTAAAAGCTCAAAAAGTTTGGAAAGATGTAGAGAAGCCTGTAGTAATTCTAAGAAAGCAATCTGTGATGTAAAGAATTTAGATTTTACTAATTTATATAATATACTAGATACTATGGAGGACAAAAGATGTATGTATAAGTCAGTCAAACAAAGAAATATAAAAAAAAAAAAGTATTTGTTTGACTTAATAAAAATTTAATTCAAGCAAAGTGCGTTAAGGATGAAGATAAAAAAATGTTTTTCATAAAAAAGGATATTCAACATAAGTGGATATTTCGATGAACTTTTTAATGAAGATTGTAATAATATGATTAACTAGTGATTTTATCATCCTAAGTGAAAATAGATATTTTTATCTTTATCTTAGTATTAGTAACATCGAAGTTGAAGATACTTGATAAAAAATAAAGTGTGGTAAAGTAATAGGACATGATGATATTCCGATAGAAATATAAAAATGCTTAGGCGATCAAGGAATTTCTTAGCTTATTAAAAAATTTTATATTATTTTGAAAACTAACAAGATGTCAGATAAGTGGAGTATGTTGATTCCTATTTTTAAGAATAAATGTGATGCACGTAAGTATGCGAATTATAGCGGAATTAAGTTAATGTGTCATACATTAAAATTATGGGAAAGAATAATTGAGTATATGTTATGACATGATACTAATATTTTTTAAAATTAATTTGGATTCATACCAGGTAGGTCTATTATGGAAGTTATACATTTATTATGAGGTTTGATGGATAAGAATAGAGAGGGCAAGGAGAACTTATATATGATTCTTAATGATTTAGAGGAGCATAATATTAAGTTTTAAGAGAAGTGCTCTTGAGAGTTCTAGAAAACAAATGAATTAATAATGCTCATATTCAATTCATTAAGGATATGTATACCTATTGCTTGTATTCAAACACAAGGCTGTTTGACCAAGTATTTTCCTATTTTAGTTGGATTACATCAAGAATCAGTTTTAAGCCCATATATGTTTGCTTTAGTCATGGACATTTTTACTATAACCTTTCAAGAGGATGTACCTTGGTGTATACTTTTTGTTGATGATATTCTTCTTGTTGATACAATTAAAGAGGAAGTTGATGAAAACTTAGAATTAAGGAGGTCAACTTGAGTCTAAAGGTTTATGTTTTAATGGATTGCAAACTAAATACATAGAATGTAATTTTATTTGTAATAGTTCTAGTGATGGGATTGTGATATTGGGAGATCAAATCATTAAAAAGAGTGCACATTTTAGATATTTTGGGTATATTGCTCAAAGCAATGATAAAATAGATGGGATATTATAAGTAGAATCCAAGTTGGATGGTTGAAGTAGAGGAATGCATCAAGTCTGTTGCATGATAGAAAAGAACGCCTCAAGCTTAAGGGAAAATTTTATAAGATGGTGGTAAGACCTACAATGCAATATGGCGCAAAATGTTGGCCATTAAAAAAGAAGTATAAAATTAAGTTAAGTGTTGCAAGGATGAGGATGCTCAAGTGGATGAGTGGCTTTACACTTAGAGACAATATGAAACTAGAATACATGTAAAAAGGCTAGACTAGTCTTACCTTATATATATAAAGAACATTCAAGAAAGAACTAATTAATATCTCTAGACAATAGTTCTGGGAAAAATCAAGAAAAATACCGCAATCAGTGAAGCATCACAAAAATATAGGTATATGAACCTTATTAGTTGGTTTATAGATGGTCATAAGAGAAAAAGCATTCAGAATAGGAGGGGAAAAGATGCCGAAAAAACTTTATTGTATTTAAAATGAAGAGAACTTTACAAATTGAAGCATTCATATTTTGACTTATTTTTATTTTGATGTAATTTGAATATTATAGTTGTGTTTTATGTTTTTTTGTATGTTATCCAATGATGGAGAACATCTGGTGATCATGGTAGGATGTGCTTAGGCATGGCAAGACTTGGGTTTGCTAGCATTTTGGATCCTTTTGTTCTTTGGGCTGCTTGCTGTCTCTCGGTTTGAGCCTTGGCTGCTCTCGGGTTGGGCTTTGGCTGCACTAGTTTTGAGCTGAAATCTTGGGATCTTCTTGGTGCTAGCTCATTAATGCTTGAGCTGATGTTTAGTTCATTATTTGGAGGAGTAATTGCACTTCTTAGCTCATAAATTTGAAAAGGTATTCTTCTTTTAGCTCATTATGTGGAGTGGAGCTTGCCTCTTCCCCTTCTTATGTCTCCTCGTTTTTTTCCTTGTGTTGTTCCCGTGGTTGGTTGCTAGGTGCTGGTTGCCTTTTCGGTTTCCTCCCTGGCTACTTTCCCGTGACTGCCCCTTCCCGATTCCTGTGATGCCTGTTCGGTTTCTTCCCTGGTTGTTTTCTCGTGGCTACCTCTAACTGGGTTCTGTGTTGTCTCTTCGGTTGATGTTTTGTGTTGACTGCAACCCTTCCTCTTCCCCTTACCTGATTGGTTGGTTGGAGATGGAAGTTAGCTGTTTAGCTCCCCTTTTCTTCTATAAATAGGTGTTTTTGTCATGAAGAGGTTATTGATTAACTTCAGATAAGTTGTTAAAACCTGAGGGTTTCTTCTCTTGGAAAAGCTTGAGAGCTTGTTCCACCTCTTCCTCCTCTCTATTTTATCTTGGCTTCTAACCTCTTCTTCTCTACGCAAGTTCCACTCCATCTGTATCCTTCTTCTTGAGCTATTGGGAGACGTTTGTTGGCTAATTTGGAGACATTTGCCGGAGGAGTTTGGTTGGACGTTGGACCCTTTTTGCCGTGGTGAACTCTTGGTTTGCAAGCCTAAGCACTTTATCATATTTTTCCTACTTCTCGTTGCATGTGAGGAAACCGCTTGCCAGTTGTTCTGAGGATAGTATTTTTATTTTATAATTTTGTTTCATTTGATTCGACTTTTAGTTTTTTTTTTTTGTGTTTGGCTGGATGTTTGCAATCTAGATTGAATCGAGTTGGTTTTCATTTGTCCTAGTGTTCTTCTATTTGACTTTTCTTTCTAGTTTTCCTGCATCACAAATGACTTACTGAAAACATAGTAAAAAAGGGATAACTAAAACTTTTTTTTTTCAAATTACGGATGAGGAAGAATCACAGATTGATGCATGGAATCTTAAGAAATCAAGTACATCATATCCAAGCCCTGAAAAGAGCATAACAATTTGATCACTACCATAACACCAAACATGTAAAGGAGACCTCAGTTACTCGCAGCTACTCTGGTGAAGTGTTCATTTAGTAGAGCAAAAATATCATTGGGTGACTGATATCCAATTAGTTATAAAACTAAGTAAGCTTTGGCTTTCTTTCATGGAAGAAGACCCAACTAAGCATTAGCTTCATCATACTCTCTCCCTAAAAAGAAGCCACACTTTAGGCTGCCATACATCCTCATTTGATTTGGTGTTATAGAATGCCGCCCAAATAATAATAAACATTAAGTTAACATGAATAACTTCATGACATCAGAGAATTCGACCTTGTAATGGTGTGAGCCATGCCTGTTCATAGTAAATGGCACCTAGAAGATTATGATTAAATCTAGTCAAAGATACTTTTATCACCAATACATCATCAAGTTTCACGAGATGAGAACCATGGATATAAGCTAACTGCACCATCCAAACCTTTTCCATGCTTAAAACATTTTGATCCTTACATGCTTTGCAAACTATTTTGATTAGCTAGAATAGAATGAATTATGTTTATTCTCTCGAATTATTCACAAAGCTTCCGCACCGAGAAATAAAGTGTAGGGATTCTTAGATTTTCTGGTGAACTGACAAGTAGCAACCACCCATACATCTACCCTCTTTTTAACGTACAAGCTACATACGATAACTGAATCCTGAATCTTATTATGGTTAAACGTCACATTTTGGCTGGTAATTCCACATCAAAAGTAGTATCAGCTCCATCTTTAAACACTTGGTCAGAAAAGAAAATTTTAACAACTTCCTGCATAAGTATTAAGTATCATTTAAAGTACAGTGAATAAAACAATAACCTATCTGTTGGATATATTAAAACCATCCCACTTAGGCATTGATTACATCCAAACTGAGCACATAAGCTTCTCGCCAGCATTATTTGATGTCATTAAAAAAAAATTACAAGTCAAACATCTATATTGTATTTCATCTACAACATGTATGTGTCTCTGTATGTGTCTCAACAAAGCTGATTAGGTCAAACAAAATGGAGAAATTTAGGGAGATTTATCTTTTTGGTCAGTATAAAAATAAGATATATATCCAATGTAAACCAAACACATTCAACCAATAATCAAGAACAATAGAATGTGTTTGGTTTACATTGGATATATATCTTATTTTTATACTGACCAAAAAGATAAATCTCCCTAAATTTCTCCATTTTGTTTGACCTAATCAGCTTTGTTGAGACACATACAGAGACACATACATGTTGTAGATGAAATACAATATAGATGTTTGACTTGTAATTGTTTCATACAAATGAAAGTCCTAAAGTAGTTCTTGATTATTCATGATAGGAGGATATAAATTTTGGATGTATATTTAAATCTATAATTGTTTTACTTTCTTGGTGCACTGAGTTGTTCATATTTTCATTCTAATTATATGAAAGACCTTTTGTCAAGTTTTAAACCTTTCTTTTTGGATTTTGACTTGTAGTAACAAACTTGAAATATTAAGCCTTAATATATTAAGCAAGCCACTTGGAAAGTCTTGTTACATAATTTGGAAAGACCCTGAATCGGTTTATTTTATAACATATTATAGGAGAGAGCCTATTACTTCTACATTATAACATATGCTAAAAAGGAATGAATTATCTGGTCATCAGCTGTGACTTAAAATCAGTCATATTAGCATTTAATGGTTGCATCCCAACGATATTTTATATAATAGAACTATTAGATTTTGCAGCTTCAATCAGATTTTCACATTGATGCAGATTTGGAAAACCAAAAACTTACTATGAATAGTAACTTTAAACGTCAGTATCAGTTGATCTTATCAATTGTAAGAAGGCATCTAGTTCCACTTGTACGTAAATGTAATTTGTGCCCATATGGATTAATGAAATTAAGCATCACACTTCAAGAAAAAGTAAAATGATTCATCACAGGATTGCAAACATGTCTTACTTAAAGATAACTTTAAAATTATAACAACTTAACAACAGAACAGTGCAGCCGAATGAAGACACCGAAGTACTTTTTAAAAAGAAAAAAAAAATCTATTAACAGATGGCTTGGTAAAACTTAGAAAGTTATAGCCATTCAATTAGCAAGCCAAAAAATAGAACGAACAAATATACCATTATTATATTAAGATCCTCCTGGGAGATATTCTCCAAGGAAACCTGCTTGATTGCCACAAAGTCCCCATTTTCCAGGTCAAGGCCCTTGTAAACGCGCCCGTACGCCCCCTTTCCAATCTCATCTCCAAGCATCTAAAAAAGCCCATAATTCAACACAACTAAGGAGGGAAAAAAGAAAAGAAATTTTTTCTCACATATTTGTCATATAGCGTTTTAGATTTGTGGAAATGAGCGGTTGCAGGGTGTCGAGACATGTCCGGAACTGAGAATTTGCCCCAGAAAACCTTGAATTAATTCCGTCCCAACCCTAGAACGGTACCAAAAAGAATCAGAACCGGAACACAAGTATATTCGAAAGATTCCTACTGATGAACTCACCTGCATTGAGGAAAACCCTCTTCATTCTCCAACAAACAGTACAGATCTTCAATAGAGAAGCGCGCAATTAGGGAACCTATTCTTAATTCCAAGCTAAGCGTGGAATGAGAGGCAAAGAAGATCAGACTGCAGAGCTTCAGAATGGGAGGATGGATAACATGAGCAGAGGCCGCGTCGACGAACTGGTTCTTAGGAGTTGAAAGTGAAGAAAGCAGTAGAGCACAGGTAGAAAGAGGAAAACGGAAGGGAGAGCGCCGCGCCAGCGGCGCTGACGGTGGGAAGAACAGCTACAGTGGCAGTGTATACGGACGATACGGAGAGAGAGAGAGAGAGAGAGAGACTGAGAGCGGGGAGGGGAGCGGAGAGGGGGGGCGTTACAATGTTACATCGATGTGGGAGGGGAAGGGCGATGGCTGCTTGCTTGTGAAAGGGCGCGAGAACTGAACTCGGACCGCGACCCGGCCCAGATTAGCTGGACCCAAAGTCGATGCCAGCTGTGTGCAAGCTATCAAAGCTGGAATTCCAGTGAAGCGTGAAAAAGAAAGTTCCGACTTTCGAACATCCGCATTCACTTCAGAATTCGGCCACCGAAGATATTTAATATTTTCGTATCACAATTTAATAGTTTCATGATAGATATGTGTAAACACCTGAAAAAAAATTGCATAAACTTCATAAGAAATGTACATTATATTATCATATTCATTAAATAAGAGTATGATGGAGTAAAATCACTCACAGTAGTCAATCATATTAGAATATATCCCACATAAAATTATGTATTGTTTAGATTTAATGTGAAGAGATGCGCCTACTTTTATGAGGAGTAGGATAATTACTTTATATATATATATACTAGTATAAATGCACGTGCATATGGTGCACGTTAATAAAGTTTTAAAAATAAAAAATGATACAATAAAATTTAAAATTAAGTTATGAAATGCAATATCAATAATATTATCTATAAAAGAGAATATATTAAACCATTTTATTAAACTCAAGCACTATTATATCAACTTCAAAACATACTCATTAAAAATTGGTCTATGGGCTTACAACCTAGCTACTTGAATCACATTATATTGTCATATTGATCTTATTCATCTTGCTTTATAAAATATTCTTACTTATAAAATTATATTGTCATTATTATGCTTGGATCTTTTATGTTAATAGATGATAAAATCTCTTGAGTTAAGATAATTATTTTTCATTATGCTTAGTAGTTATATGCTTGTACTTTAGATTTAGATTCACTTGTATTAACATAATCTGTTTTGAGGATATTCTTATTTTGGTGTGGATAAAAATATTTTCTTATATAAGTTTGTGCAATGTTATTATCTTTTTATGCTTTAAACATTCTTAATAGATTAATAATTCATTAAATGTCATTACTTCGTTGTGTTATTACATCTATAGAACCAACTTAAAAATAAGTTAACTTAGTTGTAATTGAAGATTACATTATTCATTTAGTACTTAAAATTGATAACTCGGTTCAATATATCATATCATATATTGTTTGTTGTGTAAACATGTGCACATATTACTAATATGTTTATATTTTAAATATTGTAAGTGTGTTATTAGCCTTCGCATTATTTTATTTATTATTTGCAGCTTGTTTTTTTTTTTTTTTTTTTCTGAGTTTGAGAGTATAAATGAGATTGTTACAACATGAACACACATTTGAGCCAGTTGTGGAGAAGGCCTCACATGAGGATTGGTTGAGGAGAAGGGAAAGGAGTTTAAGATCAAGTATGGGTGGTTGGTGAAAGATTGACCTGTTCAACTGTATTGCATTGCAAATAAGAAGGGTATTCTCTCAATAAATTGATGCGATGACCAACTATAGTACTCCATTTTCGTGTTAGGCGCCTTTGAAGATACATTTTCTATCTCTTCAGTGTTCTAGATGTCTCCCAATTCCTTAAGCTCTACCACGATTATATCATTTTTTGTTGTTTTTATTTTTTATTTAACACCACCACCTCATCATTTCTAGACATTTTAGATGATGAGGATTGATCAAGGGAATGACTACATTGATCAATAGAATATCTCTGCATTAATGATACAAGGATTATTATTAGGACATCCAAATCACAACATTAGAATGGAGTATTTAGATTTTAGCTCCATTTGTACATCTACGTTGATGTTCTTTTTAAACGTTGAAATAAATATAATCATGATTTACTCATTACATAATTCATAAGTTGCTAAGACAATTTATACATTCATGAATTCATTAGTAAATCAGCAACATCATTAGCCTTGTCCCAATAATTTGGGATCAACATTATGAATTCTCATTTTTTTAATATATTTAGATTAAGTATTGTCTGAGGTGTCAAATATATTCTTTTCAAATCTTTTTCAACAACTTCTATTTGTATTAGCTTAGATTTAACTCTTCTCCTTCTTAATCTAACTATTAATTTTTTTTACAACTTCAATGGAGAATTTTCTACTCTTTTTTGTACATGTCTAAATTTTAAATCATCCAAATCTATTTTTAACTACTTGACCTTTAATAAATATCAATCCGGACATTATGAGATAAAGAGGTGCACAAATAATGTTGATTTTGAAAGAATAATTTTTAGATAAATTAAAACTGCTCTAAGAAAAATTAAGCAGAACAAAAATCAAAACCAAATGAAGCCAAAAGCTTTTGCAACAATTATTTTAGCTGTAAAGGATGATGAAATATCTTTCATTGGTGAGATCTACATTGTTCTCTACTAAAAACTATATGAACCCCTTAAATTTTTGTTCAAGCACTCTATAAGCTCTTATAAATAGTTAAATTATTATTTCAGCGCACGATTATCTCAGTCAGAAAGTAAAATATTACAATTAATCATCTACATCTTTATTACCACAAAATAAAAGTAGATAAGAAACATATCATTTACAATTGAGTTAAAAGCAAAAAAAATGATATAAAATCTTTGAATTCATGATCATAATGCTATGTAATAAAATGTACATAAAGGTTGGGTCACTTGTCACATACCCCATGTCAGACTCAAAATGAGTGAAAATAACTTCAGCAAAAAAATTTCCAAATAAAATGACCAAATTATCCATAAGATTAATGATTTACCCAACCATATTTTCAGCACAATATGCCATAGAATGTCAATGCCAAAAAAAAAACTAAATTTGCCAAATTAGCCAGTACAAGAGAAAATATCTTAATATAGTTGAATAGTTTGCCTGAAAGCTTCATACCATTATTGACTAAAAGCAATAATGTGACATTGTGTTGAGATGACAAATCACCCAATAATGTATCAGTTATCTTTAATTCAATGTAATGAATGCGAGACAATGATAAAAGATGTGGTAACTTACAAATACATAGAAAGTGAAACTTGCACACATAGAGACATAAGAGCAATAGCATTATCTTCCAAACCAAAAATAAATTGTGATGAATACAACACAAATTTTGCCACAGGTCATTAAATATATCCAACATTAGCAGGTTAAATTAGTAAGGTCATTAAGCAAATAATTGATAGCCAAACTTGCAAAAGCATATGCTTGTGAACATATATAGGTGTATATTAAAAAAGAGTAAGAATGTTAGAGAAGGGATATCAACACATCCTTGATATTGAACATACAACAATATGAGGTTGCAAGCGTGTGGGCATACAAATTCATCCAGACCCTACCGTTGCAAAGAATCTTGCACAAAGTTGGAATATCCAAGTAAAGGACTACATATAAGTAGGTTCTTGAAGTAGCAGCAACATTGGTAGAAGAAGTACGATCATAAGTATTTAATAGCATTACAAGCAAAATTCTAGAGGAGCTTCATACCATCCTTGATGCATCATTGCTAAAGTAGAGGAAGAATCCAACATGACCAAATTGTCAATTGTTAGCAATAACTATCACTGCCTCTCCAAAAAAAATTCATCATCTAGTAGCCAGAGAAACATTACAAAGCTAAGAAACAAGAATTGATAATGGATATGTTGTAACAGCCAAAGTAGGAGAAGCTGGAGGGGATTTTATTAGTGAAGAGATTATTAGGGAGTTTGGCTCAACTGAAAGAGCTATGCTTCAAGAGCAAAGAGCAAGAATAAGTAGCAGGAGAAGAAGAAGAAGAAAAAGGCTCGTATGATAATGAATCCATGATATAAGTACATGAGTTTTTCTTAAACTTTAATTCCCATGCTGATGGAAGATGTGGTTGCCTGAGATGCTCCAGGCCACAAACATGCCATATTTTAGGAAATATAGGGACATTTCATAGCTTCTAGGTGTGGTCGATAGCAAAATTCTTAATCATCATCGTCATTGCTTTCAACTTTTCACTCATGAAAAAGATAATCACAACACACAGCTAAATGCTGTGAACGCCACCATTTTTAAAAAATGTCATATATAAACATAAGTATGTAGTTATTATTTAAGCCTGTTTAAAATTTGCTACCAATTCAATAGTGAAGCAAGAGTATGTAAGGAAAATAATTTGAATGAATTCACTTCTTCATCCAACCATAATAATTGAAGGAATATTAGCAAGAATCTGTGTTTTGGCTATCGATGGCATTTTGAGGTGACAAAAAATAGCCTAAGTGTGATGATTGAATGGTTGTAATTAAGGCGAAAGCAATGGAGGAGAAGATGAAATGCTATGAGGCATTTGGGCATAGTAAATGGAATCAAAACATAATTAAAGATAGATTGACCTTAATATGCCCGTCAGAGATTCAGATGTTCATAATAGCTCTCAAGATTCTATGTTGGCTGATAATAATACGAAGAATTTTGAGGATACTGAGAGCATATTGGATATTAATATTCTGTCATCTGCTTACCCTGTAGAAGGAAACAACAGGTTCTAGTGATGGAGCTCTAATTATCATAAATGAAACTCCCATTTTGTCCATTGAGCTAACTAAACAAGAAAAATGAGGAGATTCAACAGAAAATCTAAGTAATCATGAGGAAAGTGAAGAAGATACCTTATCAAGTCATACCTCAGCTGAAGATGAGATGCAACAAAATGCATTACTTGGAAAGTCTTATGGTGGATATAACTCTAATGGCATGAAAGAGAGTAGCTCTTATGAAAAAGGCAATCGATAACCTGCTACTCTATCTAAAATGAAACCTCCGAAGAGTTCCCGTCATGGCTTCCGATCTGACATTAGAAGAAAGCCGTACTGGCGAACACACGAAGCGGATAAAAGAAATGAGAAGAATAAATAAAGGGGAGGACAACGGAATTCGAAGAGGCATATTAACGATATTGAAGTTATAGAAGGTGAAGTGACCTAAATAATTTGAGAATAAAGATATGGAGAAACGGCGGAGTGAGGAAGAAGAAAGATACGGAGAAACTGCGGAAAAAGTGG